ACTGAACGCTAACGCTACATTTGTGCAAACACGGGATTTAGCGATACAGTATATAGTATAATCAAAATCGTATCACCAACTACTTTTAAACTGGCACCCCCCCCCCCACCCGGTACAAATCGAACGTGTTGTGCGCGCACAGTATTATTGGCAGACGCGTATGCAGCCACACACACGCTGGAGAGTTTCGGCTACTCAGCGCCACGTCACGTTCGCAACGCGACACGTAAAAAAGCGTTGCCGCGACTGCGTCATCGCCTCTCCACACCATCGATGACACACCAGGTGATTTGCGACGAGAAAAAAAAGACACGTACGCTATTGGGAAGAAAAAAAGTTACGCCAATAATCCTGTAAACTGACAAGAAATTCTCGGACAGAATTTGGTACGTTTAGCAGCCTTTCCATCCTTGAATGATCCATCAACCCCAAGAAGCATTAAAATATCCGATAACAGAGAGGTAACGATTAAATTGTGCGTGGCATAATTACTGCTCCCGAATGCAACTTGTGATCAAAAACAAAAGGATTCAAAAACACTTAATGAATTACATCTTGTGCATATAGTGCATATATATTGCAAATAAACTGTTGATTGGAGAAGTCGTATCTGTAGCACCCGTTGTATACCAACACATGTTTGCAGCTCACTCGGGCTGGTGAAACAAACGTTAAAAATCGCTTGCGCACCCCCCTCCCCACCCCAAAAATAGGCTCCCGACGAGTCGCATTTTCCGATTGCCGCCGCAGCCGCCGCAGCCACCGCCGCACCACGAATCGGCAAACGAACGCCTGTGGATTTTAACCAAAAGCGCCGGAACGCTTGAGTGGCGCTGTGGCATCCCACGAGTACTTCGATAGGGCACCACGGTGGCGAGATGTTAATTACCTTGCCTGGTAAACACAGGTCGTGGTTTCGATCCAGACCCCGAGTTTGCATGTTCTCCCACTGGTCGTGCGCATTTTTCTCTGGGCCCTTCTGGTTTTACCCCTCCACATTTAGAATCAATGTGTATTTTAGCATTTGGCTGCGAGAAATTTCTGGGTCACTTCTAAATAAGAGCTACATAGCTCAATGGGCCTTATCTGGAAAATTAAAAATTGTTTAGTTTAATAGTTTATACTATTAGTTAACTATCAACTTGCCTGCTGCTACATGCAAAGTGGATTGCCTGTAGTAGCAGGTCAAACGGAGCACCGCGCTTAGGGGGGGACGCTGCGGCGCCCACGCATGTTACAAGATCACCGTGGAATTATCACCGTTTGCTGTTAGACATCTCAAACATCTTGAACGTGGTAACGAATTACTCCACGACACCTGAACTGCATTTTGTCTGTCCGGCTTAAACCTTGTTTGCCCTAAATTTCAGGGCAGGCGAAGTATCACGATTTAATCTCTGGGCGATCTCCACGAAGCCAGTCACGTGGCAAGCTTTAGCTCTTCTCTTTGCAGGACACGGAGTAACGGGGGGGGGGGTGTGGGGGGGGTGTTCGAGAAATAAAGTGACATTTTTAAAACGCTCACAAAACAACACACCTTGGGCTGTCTTGCCAAACGTTTATAAATGGAACCTTTGGGCAATAAATGTAAAGAAGAAATACATCAACAGCTGTAGATTGTCCAATAACCAAAAAAAGTAAACTTAATTCACATTTGCCGAAAATAATGGTAACAGTCGCAGGGAGGAGAATTTTTTTTTTAAAAGAAATTTACGCGGCTGTAAAACACGTCTTGAGGTCTTAATTGGCAGATTTAAAAAAACGTAAACCTCTGTAGGCAGTTGGCAACATTAACAACAATTACGCAAAATGCCACTAACACCCTAATTAAGGACGTCCTAAAAAAACCCACCCTAACGTATATTAATCTGGCATTTCCCTGACATAAAAATCTAAAATGCTATTACAAAACCCAGTGTTTACCGAAGGCTCAACGCGACACCAACAACAGTGCACGTGCATAAAACATCAGTGGCTGCTGTGAACTCGGCAGCAACTCTTCAGCAGCCCCACGCGGGTTTAACAAGACGTCGACAAAGCTCTCTCGTGGCTCCCTTTAGTGGAGGGCACTTCTGCGAGCAGTGGCATTTAGCAAGGAATTCCTTGGACTTGTGTGTTTATACACAAACAGATGACGGAAGACACTAGCGGGGACTGCGACGTCGCTGCATTTCGGGAAAAAACGCAAGCTCGTCACACGAGGGATGCCACGTCGACCAGCTCGTGACCGAGGGCTCCGGGGAGAGTGTGTGCCCGGGCTGCTTTCACCACGAGGTGAGCGTGAAGCAGAGTAGAAGGTGAGGGGAGAAGGCAATCGCTCCGTGATTCACGTAAAGTCCCGACAAACCAAGTGGCCCCGCGGCAAATGCCGATCCCCACGAGTCGCGTAGCCAATCGCTGATTCACCGATTCACTTTCTTAGGCTGCCACATTTTCTACAGACCAAGGCCGGGCATATTTCTCTGTCAGCCTAGGCCAGGGGTGAGCAACCTGCAGCTCTTTATGGACTGCTTCGTAACGTAACTTATGTATGTGTGCATGTATGTGTGCATGTATTCACATACATTGGTGGCTCTTGAAACATTAAGTTTTGTACTCAATTCGAAAAAAAAATGTTTCTTGTTATATTTGTTATCAACCCCTGGCCTAGACCAATCAAAACTTTGCAGTGTACTGAAATAAAGCTCACTACAATACCAGTACCAGATCTCGGTACAGGATTGATCCTTGCCACTCAACCACAGATGCCAACTCCCGGAGATGGCTGGCAACTCAACGAGCCCACGCTGCCCATAGAGTACCTTTAAGTCCTTTTCGTAACTTCTCCATTCCTTGCAAACAAAGTAACTTGAGTGGCACCCCAATCCAAGCACGCATTGCTGCTGTGAAGCTATTCGAAGTGCAATTGGCACCTTGAGATTCGAGTACAATTTGAAGGGTTGACGGTTCTCACAATCGGCGCGCTGGTGTCGCAAGCAAGACGACGAGTGGCCACGATGCTGCTAGCTTTCGTCTCGAGACTTCTCTCGAACCTCCAGGACAAGGTCTAGATGAAGCCGGGGGCACATCGTACCGCAAGAACCAACGTTCACTCGAGCAGAGTCTGCAGGGCGACACCTACCGACTGTCACCACGAGCGTTGCTCGGTGAAGGCGTCACCCCGCTACTCTGAACAACAGTGCAGTCATGGCAACTACGATATCGCACCCTGACCTGATTCCAACTCACCAGGCCTCACTATCCATAGATTTGAGTAAAGTCGAGAGGACGTGACTATTTTGGTACGTGAAAAGGAATGACATCTTGCCTGGTAGAATAGTAAGTTTTGCCCTGACGGACGTATTGTACTATTAACAATACTGTGACTGACAAGACGTATGTATTACTGACAATGCCGTTACACGATTACAACGTTACAATTCTATTACTGTTCTTACACTAATTTTACAATAGTATTGCATATATTATAACATTATTATATTATATAATCATATATTATTTTTTACTCGACACTTCGTTCTATCTCCAGTCCAATCAGTTACCTGCACAGGAAGTGCCTCATCCAGTGTTGTTTCTTTTTAGATTTCTGATGCATTTTCTCCATCAAGAAGCAACATCATGGGATTTTACACACGGCGCTCGGTTGAAAGGATATCACAGGAGGTGACATCACGGCGCTCCGTTGCCAACTGACGACACCTTTTTAGATGGCTATTACAGCGAGTCCCGGGACCGACTCGGTGGCATGTTGGGTATGGAACAATTTGTGCTACTCTGCCTGCTCTATCAAAGTGTGGACCGGGCTACGATGATGATGAGCAGAATATCCGCAGCCACAAGTCACACTCCTCGTGCTCTGCACACTCAACCCAATCACACGTGCCTCTATAGAATGTTAAACGGGTCCCAATGCGTTGCACACTGCACTCTGGGGTGTTGTGCTTTCTGCATGTTGCTCAGATTGCATTTACAGCATGTCAAATTAATACACCAGAATTAGTTATTTCGCTTGCTAAGAATTTAAAATCCCAAGCTAGCTTTCAGTTAAACATGTGTATATGTCTTTTACAAGTAGCCATTATTAAAACGCTCTCTCCAAACGCCTACCCTGACTTTTCAATGATTGACTGCGTCCGAGCAGCCTGTAGCTATTAAACGTGGCAGAGTGTGGATGGCAAAGCTGAGTTGGAAGCAACGTTTAAGCACCTCTCCATCGTCAACTTAAACTGGCAAAGCCTAATTTGGGAATTACAAAAATACACTCACGTTTAACAACATTTTCTCCCCTCCATGAAAAAGGAGCGGTTGAATGCGCCCTCATCTGGAAAGGCCGAGTAAAAAATTTACCCGGCGGTGAAATTTGGCAGCTTAACTTGAGCGCGAGAACGGCTCTCTTAGAGGAACTGCCTCCCCCCATCAACCGCCGCTGTCCCCGCAGCAGCAGCAATGACGAGGCGATTGACACAGCGATGGTCGCTGGTTTAACGGCTGGTGTATTAACGAGAGGTTCCCTTCAAACCCTGCGCTGGCAAATGCAGGCACCCAACCGACCGAACCCATGGCGCGCGACCCATTGACGGGCTCGCGGACTCCGAGTGACTCTGGGTGAACTCACCGGACGAGTGGAACGCGACGATGGTGGACTCGCGCCCACCGGAACTTTGTCCACCAGACATACCGCTCACGCGGTAAGCTCACGCGGTGAGCTCACGCGGTAAGCTCACGCGGCAAAGCGCACGCAGTAAGCGCACGCGGTAAGCTCACGCGGTAAGCTCTCGTGGCCAGAAGCGGTGGGTGCCCGGCATCCGGTGCATTTACCACATGTTGCCATTGCATTGCAATCATCACTCAGGCCAAATGCACGTGGATTGAACTGAAGCCACGAGATGCCACTGGAGAGCAGCCAAACCTTACGAGGTCACTGCCTCCCCTCTGTCCACCCCCGCTGCCCCCTCCGCCCCCAATGCCCCACCCCCTCCCACTACCCCCACCCCACCTGTCCCCCTTTACTTCAGCATTTGTATTGTCCCGGTGTTGTTGGCCTCGATTGCCCTGGGCCACCCCCACCCCCTGGACTTGCGCCGCATTTAGTCGATGCTGTCGCAAATCTGCTCCACCATCTTGTTGAAGTCCTCCGGCTGGTCCGCGTACACGTGGTGCCCAGCTCCGCGTATTTGCTGGGGCGAGACGGAGGCAGTCGGTGAACGCACGCGCAGGGGTGCAAGCAGGATTGGGGGGGGGGGGGAGCCAAAGTTAATGGTGGACTAAAGTCGTGTAAAACGACTTTTGTAGCCCCTGTGACCGAATCACTGGGAATACATCGTGTCTCATCAAAAACGCACCCTACCCAGGCCACTGACAAATGAGACTCATCCTGATCGCTTTGAGTTCACACAAGCTGGTTAAACAAAACAAACTTAAAATCGCAGAAGCTAAGCAGGTTCGAGGACAGAGCGGGCTGCCATGAGTAACCACCGCGCATGTTGTAGGCTGCTGTCGTACCGTACCCCCCACAACCGCACATCTACACTCTCCACCGTAACCAACCACCATGCAACTAACTCCACCGCACACGTGCTGTGGTTGTTACTCATGCATGCTGTTCGGTGGGACAGAGGCAGTCAGGGGGAGATTAAAAAAACTGGAAGGTGTCGCGAGGTCACCATCTCCTGGCAACAGAGCAAGTGGATTAATTTATATCTGGATGCGGATTCGTGTTACCCCGCATCCCCCTAACGAGTGTGTGTGTGTGCGCATTTTCTCCGGGTACTCAGATCTTCTTCCACATGTATAACAATACATTAATTAATGGAGTTGGCCAACAGTCCCAACATAGGACCACAGAGCTTGTGGTTTCCAATGTCTCCAAATCATTCATTCATTCTCTCTCACTCGGTCTCTCTGTGCGTTGTTCCAAGTTTAACATTATCATTATTGAGTTTGGGGGTGATGGACAGAGAATGAAATGGGGTGGGGTGGGGGGAACGGCGCTCACCACGAGGCGCGTGCGTGAGCCGGGCCGCGCCTCCACCACCTTGCCGCCCGAGCTGCTGTCGATCCACGAGCGGGCGCCGTAGATGATGGCGATGGGGATGGCCGGGTCCAGGTCGCCGATGCGGTGCAGCATGGGCCGCTTGGCCCAGCCGTACGGGATCGTCATGGCCTTGAAGGCAGTCTCACCACTGCAGGTCGTACCATGCATACGCACACGCACACATGAACACATACAGATACAAGCACATACACAGAGACAAAGTTACATAAACAGACAAAGACGGTCATTGCATCTGCTGCCGTCTGGAATGCTCCTTCTGATATTATGCACGTTTAAATCTCGATTGAAAATTCCTTTCTTTAGAACTGCTTTTAGTGTTTAGTTTGTTGTCATTTCCCCACGCCTCCGATTAGCACGGTTGGCTACGTACGGTGCGAAAATTCTAAATACGTACATAAAGACAAATACGTACAATAACAACAACCGCCATTTACCACTAAGTGGCAGTGACATCACCATGGCGCTTGTGCCAGGCTATGTGCATGTTAAGGCCAAGTGAAGTGTTGAACGTCTGCTGGCAGGTCACGGGGAACACCCAAGTGCCATGGGTTGACTGAGATGACTGGCCGATGCACCACCTGTGCCCCCTACTGTGCCAACTTGCTGAGTTTTAGCCGCCCGGCGCTCCGCTCATTATTGAGGGTCGCTCCTCTGCCCTCCGTTCTTGCTGGAGGGCGACTGCCTCCAACTGTCCAGTAGTGTTTCTTAACGAGCCTTGTCCACGGAGGCTGATCTTGACACCGCTGGTACCAGTCATCGGCAAGTCCACTTAGATCCACATCCTCTTATACAACATCACTCCATCTCTTCTCTAGCCTGTGACGTACCTGTTTAGCCCCCTCTATCCAGCCAAACAAAAACTGCTTAGACATGCGGTGGCTGGGCATGCAGGCTACATGACCCAGCTAACACAGCCTTGCCTGCCAGAGAAGCTCACCGATGGGACTTAGCCCAGATCTTTCAAGGATTTGTGAGCTCCTCACACAATCCAGCTTGGTTAAACCCAGGATGGATCGTAGGCAGGCCAGCCTAAATGTTTCTAACCGGCAAAGTTGTTCCATTAGGGGGGTCCACGTCTCTCAAGCGTAGAGAAGGTAGGGCATGACCGTGACCGAGAAGACCTAAAGCTTTGTATGGAGCGACAAAGCAGGTAGTATCCACACAGCGTTACGCAGCCGATGAAAAGATAATGCCGCTCGACTGATTCGGAGTAACACCTCTGCTGTCAAAACGGAGCCGGTCATAAGCACAATGCCCAAGTATGGGAAACTCTCCACTCTCTCTTCGAGGTGTAGGGGTCATGTTTAAGGGAAGGTGTCACTCAACACCAAACTGAGACATCAACTGCCCCACTAAAATGTTCTTAGCAAGACTGTTGGACTGTCTTCATCACTAATGTTACACTTCTAACAACAGCCAAGGTCATTGCTCCAAATTCAAGGATAGCTAAATCTCAATTCCAAAAGACTCACTTTCACATCCCATGTTCATCACGCACCTAGAGCTAGCTTCTGGTCAGTCTGTTCAATAGACTAAAACTAAACTATTTTTATTTTACCAGGTGAGGCACACTGATCTATGTAGCTCTTTATCAGAAGTGACCTGACCACAAATAATAGCTCAACGAAGTGGCTTATCGTGTGTAAATAAATGCATGTTTCTAAATGTGGAGAGAAAAACTGAAGGACCCGCAGAAAATTCCACGTGACCACAGGGAGAGACACGCAAACTCTAAATACACAGGCGTCAGGATTGGAATCGAACTCAGGACCTCCTGTATACCAGGCAAGATCGTGAAACATTTAACTACCATGGCTGCAGCCGGTGCCCGGCGCTCTGAGTGACATGCGAGTGGCCTCGGCAGGCCACTACCAGAGGCTTCTTATGAATGAATGTATGTTGAAATTCTTTCGCACCGTAAATAGCCATCCGTGCTAATCAGAGGTGCTTCACAAGTAACATATGGCCCACGGACACCAGTTGAAGAACACTCGTACATACCATAAACAAGCATGGAGACGCATTTGTGGGATTACAATGACAGGCAGAAAGAGGAACGACACGTGTTAAGAGAAAGCGTGCACATTTATGACATCATCCAAAGTATTAGAAAACAATAAGTATTGCCTGGGCAGGATCTGTTGTGGGAAGAGATCAATGGAAGATGGTCAAGTGTGACAATGGAGAGGCGGTCGAGGAATGGAGAGCACCTGATAGTACGTCTACGAAGGAGATGGAGCCATGATGAATACAGTTTGTGTGCGGATGCCGGATGGATTGCTGCATCGCAGGACTGTGAGGGGCGGCAGCGGCTTGGGGAGGCCTTCATCCAGCAGTGGATTGGCTACAGCTGATTGATGATCATTTAGATCAGTTGGGTGCTTTACATTTCGACATGAGAAGTCACTTCGTAGAGATATCATTTGTGGCCAGGTCGTTTCTAATAGCTCAGTGGGCTTTACTTGGTAAAATTAAATATTTTAGTTTTCAAACTTGATTTGAAGTTTTCGTGACTGCAGGAATCCATACTCTTTGGTTCTTTCGGTAAAGTCACGTAGGCAGAAAAATATAAAATAAATCACGACGTTTCAACAACGATTGCTTGTGTTGCAATCGAAACGTCGTGATTTATTATTTATTATTTCTACCTACGTGACTTTACCGAAAGAACCAAAAAATATTTTAGTTTTCGCTTTATTTAGTGATTAGCTTACCTTTCCTATACTTTACACTCGTGCTTTTGTATCGATTGTTGTTGTAACTTTCTCACCCCGTGCCCCTACACTGGACACCTGTGAAAAAGAGCTTCATAGCTCATCAGAGTTCTCCAGTGTATATAAATTTAAAGATTAAGATTCTCATGACGATGATAACGACGACGATGAAATGTACGGTGAGGCACAGGCAGTAGCGGTGACGCGGGGCGAGAGCTGCGTGCCTGTATGTACCTGGGCGTCTGCGCGTTGCAGTGATAGATGTACTCGCAGATAGTGTCGTCGTCAAAGAGGTTGGAAAACTTGCGCTTGAAGTCCGGCCGGAAGCGCTGCACCATGCCGGGCCCTGCTGGAACCCAACGGGAACGCTCAGCATAAGGTTTCGCGCTCGAGCGGGGCGGTGACGTACAACTGCCGCTAACGTGGTCTCTTTGTCAAGGGGCGCCTGGGGTAAGTGGATCGCTTGTGAGAGATTAAAATTTACCTTGCCTGGTATAAAGGAGGTCGTGAGTTCGGACCCCATTCCTCACACCTGTTGTATATTTTGAATTTGTGTCTCTCTTCCCGTGGTCGCATGGATTTTTTCTCTGGGTCCTCCACATTTAGAATCAACATGCGTTTAAGAGTATTTGGCTGCTATAAATGATAATGTGATGATAAGTCACTTCGTTGAGCTATCATTTATGGCAGCCAGATCGCTTCTGAAAAAGAGCTACATAGCTCAGTGGGCCTTACCTAAGATAAAAAAAAATAGTTTTAGTTTATTTTTATGCTAGATTTGAAGCTTTCGTGACTGCAAGGATTCATACTCTTAGGTTTTTTCGGTAAAGTCACGTAGGTAAAAAGAAATAATAAAAATAGAAAAATAATAATAGAAATAAAATTATAAATCATGACGTTTTGGAGGCAACACAAGTCTCCGTCATCAGGTGGGACCGTCACAGCTAAATTATTTAGTTTTTTTTGCCCATCCCCGCCTCGCGGGACCCGCCGAGTGAGACTGACCCCATGGCCCGGCGGCGCGTAGGCCGGCCAGCGGGTTGAAGGGGCTCAGCACAAAGCCGATGGCCTTGACCCACATGGGCACGGGCCGCTCCTGGTCCGGGTTAAGGGGCCGCTCGGGGAAGCCCCACGGGTCCACCAGGATCAGCTGCTTCACCCTGCAATGCACGCGCACACACAGGTAACAGCTTTAAACATTTCAAAAAAATATTTCACCAGGTGAGCTATGTAGCTCTTTTTCAGAAGCAACCTGGCCACAAACGACAATTTAACTTAGTGGCTTATCATGTGGAAATTTATAGCAGCCAAACACTTTTAACCGCATGTTTCTTAAATGTGGAGGGAAAAGCCTGAGAAACCGGTGAAAAATCCACACAACTACAAGAAGAACATGCAAACTCCAAATAAACAGGTGCCAGTGATGGGATCGAACCCACGACCTTGTGTACAACAGGCGAGGTAGTCAACATCTCGCCACCGTGGCCGCAGCCATTGCCCGATGATCCAAACAATGACCTTTGACCCAATCGGTGCACTTCTGCCGCACGCCGTGTGACTACACGAAGCCATACAGGCTGGAGTACGGCGGTTGTCAGCCGGCAGAGCGGGGGGGGGGGGGATGCGTAGGCTGTGGCATGGGTACTGTGCAGCAGGTGAATATATGATTGTGCACGTGGAACATCAACACCACATTCCGGCAAAAAAACCCACACTAATACACGTGAAGCGAATGCCAAACACAAAAACACTGATACAAAATGTGAAACAATGCATTCTTATCTCACGAATACACAAAGTAAAACAGATGGCTTTATGACACCACATTCACTAGAGGCATGGACATGTGATCTGTATTGTGGCCTTCGTAGCATGGGTGGGTGGGAGGGTGGGGGTAGATGGTTTGACCAACAATCGGATTGTTACAAGTTGCGGGTCAACTCAGCACATCATCATCATCTCTCCGGGTTTATAAAATATGTACCATTTTGTGGGAAGTCAACAGCGATGATCTTGATCCCTATCTAAGGCATGGGGAATTTCTACCACTGGTTGGCTCGCGTGGTTGGAGTTGGAGGTAGGCTATAGTGTCCCGGTTGGCTTGTGGGATTAGGGTTGGCGCTCATGCTAGGGACTGGCGGTTTGGTTAGGCTTATACGTGTAGTGACTTATACGGTGTCACTATGGCGCTTAGCGCCACCTACTGTCGCAGGAGTGGAAACGCATGTCGGGTTGATGTGCAAGCGGGCCATAGGGGCCTCGAGGGACATGTGACGAGGAGCTTCTGGCATGATCCAGAAGGGGGCGTGGCCCAAGGCGGGGCGAGGCCGGGGGGATAAAAGGGAAGCCCCGACAGGGATCGGGGCTAGTCTCTGGAATCAACCCTTGGTGCTGCGTCTCGTCGTCTTCGGTCTTTGTTCGGCATCGTGGGTAAGACAGCGTGTAGGCTGACTGACCCGTTCGTGCAGTTAACCTGTTACTCACATAGTTAACTGTGTAGCGATCACTTAGCAGTTGAACCAGTGTACGTTTAGTTAAGTTACCCTGTTGGGGAGTTAATAAACGTGTTGCCTCCAAATCCAGTGTGTGCCTCCGTACAACACACTACGTTGAACTTCTTTCGTACCATACATAGCCAACCGTGCTAATCGGAGGTGCGGGGATAAGACAAAATAAACACAAAAAGCAGCTTAAAATTCGTTTCAGGCTTAGTGCTACTGGACTACCGACTCCCCGCGCCTCTCCACGGGGCCACCTCATCTCCCCGTCTCACCGCTGCGGGTGTTGCAGGGCGTACGCCGCCGACAGGTACGCGCCCAGGCTGTGACCGAGCAGCTGAAGCTCCGAAGCCCCATCTCCTCTCGCCAGCGCTCCATTGCGTCGATGAACAGCGTCTCGGCGCCCGCTGCGTCCATGGGAAACGTCGGGCGCGAGCTGCGACCAAAGCCTGACGGGGTGGGGGGGGTGGGAGACCGGACGGCACGGCAGAGGTGAGCGAGGTGAGCGGCGGTGCCGAGCAGGTTAAACAAAAAAGCACCAAAGTGGGCTTTGCCTGGTAGTATGGGGATGGTTTAGTTTTATTTGTATATACATGTTTTAGTGGTTTGTTTACGTTTCCTATACTTTATACTCCTATTGTGTTTTTGTATTGTTTGTTGTTGCAACGTTCTTATCCGCCCCCACTGGACATCTGTGAAAAGAGCTTTGTAACTCATCAGATTCCTCCTGCAGTCTAAATAATAAGAATTTGACAATCTAGCAAGTCACTGTCAATCAATGATGCCCCATAATCCAGCAGAAATGCTACATTTCCACGCTGGTGGCCAGTATATGAAAAAGAACAATGGGTGTTTTGTTTCCCAAAAGGGCCCCCTTTCTCTCTCCATAGCAATGCAGATTACGCAAATGGCTCGCAGCCAGTGCCGCTGCCGCATATACACAGAGTGCCGCTGCCGCATATACACACACTGAGCAAGGTTGGGACTATGAATAGTCAAAGATAACAAAGTGAGGACAACACAAAGGCGTGTTACTTAACAAGACGTTTTGACAACAGTGCCTAGATCACAAGCGATCACGAGTCTACAAAGTTTGAAATATCCGCAAAGTTACAATTGGACGTAAAGTACGCAGCTCGACTGATAATTCGATCCCGGGGACTGGAACATTCCAGGCGTTGGCCCGTGGGGATTCACGTGCTAATTCGCGGTTAAAAATCGCAAGTCTGGAGAGGGCACCATCTTATTCTTCTTGCGTCCTGCCACAACAGTCACATGTTTATCCAGTATCTGGCACTTGGTGATATACGGCCGGGGTCTGTAGCCCTGGTGAGGTGCTCCATAGTTCACGGCTCCACCAGGGCGCCACGTGGGTGAAGATTGAGAGCCATTGTTATTAGGCAGGGGCAGGGTGTACTGCGTCCTGCACATCACCTTCTATACAAGGGGTGGGGGGCCCGCCTATTAATAAATGAAAATTAAATGGGAAGTAAAAATTTGCAGATCACACATTTCCTAAAGTTCACAATGTAAGAGCGCGGTGTGTGAAACAATGGTGACTTGTAGTTATAGCTGCAAATCTACTCTGCACAGACACGTCACGCGCCAGGCGGTCCCCGGTTCACTCCTGCGCCGTAAAGTAACTGCTGTGGCACTGGATGGTACGGTGATTTTCCATAGTTGCAGGGGAGGGGTAAGTTTTACCTCGTCTATTGCCGTAATATGACAAAGCAACATGGACAACATTACGCGTTATAAATGGGCTACATTTGGCCTTCCTGAAAATAGTGGGGCTTTGGAAAGAAATGGACAATTCGGGGGTGGCACCCACCACTCAATTAGCGCAGCACTGAGCACTTCTTGTGAGCTTATTTGGTGCCGTACGGAGCCAACCGTGCTAATTGGAGGACATCAGCTGCAGTGGCGACTGCTTAAAACGGGGCTCTCGTGGGTGATGGAGAGGAACGCAGCGCAGGGAGACGTGAACCGGAGGGGATCGGTGGGTGAATGAAGCCGTGGGAGTTGCCAGAAAACGTACAGCAATGTACAAAAGTTCTTGGCCTTGTCCAGAACACCAGCCCACAAAGAACTGAATGTGTTGCTGTTTTGGCTTTTTTATAACCACCTAACTCAAAGAGTTGCAATGCCGTGGCCATCCCATGTGTATCGTTAAATCTACTTTGTTCCAGCCCACGTCAATCCTTGTGGTGATTTTACATCTTTGAATAAAATGCAGCATCGGAGGGACTTCATTCAGACCCAGTGTCATCGCTACGGAGCAGACGAGGCGGGACCTCAGAATCAGAATATTAATTTATCCTGGAGAAATCCGATGAGCTATGAAGCTCTTTTTTCACAGGTTGCCCAGCAGGGGCCGGATCAGGAAGTTGCAACAAAAAAAGGAGTGCAAAGCAAATCACAAAAAATAACTACACCTGAAGGAGGAGTGATTGGTTGGTTAAGGGGGCTGGCGGCTATGGGGGCCAAAGGGGGGCGCAACTACTGACCCAGGAGGTCAAATGCGTGCACGCGGCGACGCCGGGCCATCGAGTCCAAGTTGAGGGCCCAGAGGCCGACGCCGCCGCCAAAGCCGTGCACCAGCACGAGCGGGGTGCTGGTGTCGGCCATGCCGCTTTGCTCCAGCTCTGGATTGGTCACCGTGATGCTCCAGAGGCGGTCCTCGTCCAGCACGTCCACGTAGCGGCCCACCCACTTGCTCTTTAAGCCTGCGCCGGCAACGGGAGTGGAGTGAGAGTGGGTGAGGGGGGGCCCAGAGGAAGCACGCGGCACGAGGTTGTTTACACTGGTCAACAAAAAAAAATTCTGGCCTGGACTTTTGCAGCTGTTTTAGACTAATTTCAGGGTGCTGATTCCAAATCTGATCTCAGATTTGCTCTATCACATCTCATTTTATGCTATCGGCATACCCCATTTTCATTGATTTTACACGAAATTAACTGTCACTTATGATTGCAAGTTGTTGCGAGTCAATGACTGCTTTAGTGTTAAAATATGGTGCTGTATTTTTAGGATAGTGTGTTTATAATATCATTTTATGTAGATATCCACATTTATTTAATATTTTTCTTCTGATATGCCAGATTTGGAATCAGCACCCCAAAATTACCTTAAAACCGTTAAAATACCTTATGCCAGAAAAAGTGTGTTGACCAGTGTTATCGAATGACATGACTGGGAAATGGGTTTACTTGCTGGAAAGCAAGGGACTTGTAAGGTTACTTTAAAATGCTGGTAGGATCCTGACTCCATAAACTAAACAAAATTTGTATTTTAACATGTAAGGCCCAGTGAGCGATATAGCTCTATATAGCTCTATTTCATAAGTGACCTGGCCACAAACGATAGCTCAACAAAAGTGTCTTGTCATCACGTGAAAATTTCAAGCAGCCAAATACTCTAAACGCACGTCGATTCTAAATGAGGGGAAAAACCGGACGACCCAGAGAAAAATCCATGCGACCACGGGAAGAACATGCAAACTCCAAATTTACAGCAGCAGGTATCATCAGGGTCAAGATCGAACCCACAACCTCCTTCATACCAGGCGAGGGAGTTAACAACTCGCCACTGCAGCACCCCATCACCGTAATTTATGACTTGATATCGCGCCTCACACAAGTACAAAACAGGTCCCGAAGCACAAATGGACTTAATAAGCACAACTGAACGACTGGCTGGCAGAAAATGTGAACTTTGAATCACATTCCATCTCTCCGAGTTGCCTAAACAAGTGCCACCGTGTGGAAAGTTAACAGTGGTGATATCATGGGAGCATGGCCTCTGCCATGGAAATGTGGAATTTCCACCATGGTTTCACCACTACAAATGAACACATTCACTACCTTACTGCTCACGCGAGCACGGTAGGCAGTCACTTCATATTCATCCATTTTTCCCACTTAATACTTGTTTTTTTAAACCACTACATTTCCTATTCATTTTTATTTTTTCCCACATTTTCTCACACGCTGCATCTGCCCAAGTCCCATCTTTAATAACACGCTCGCTTACGTTTATTCAGTGTGTGCGACGAGCCAAATTAGTGATGATAAAAATTCACATTCAACCAAGTTACCACCCCTATGAGGGCCTGACCTCAACACCTTCTGATTGCGCAACCAAAACCCTCCACACCTTCATTCGTTGTTGCAGTAAATCACAAGGGTAAAATAGGGAATCACTTATCACAAGTTGAGAACATAATTATCACCTATTTCCAATATTTATCTTTCAGTAAAATAATATAAGCACAACCCATCAGCCACAAAACCTTCTGGCAGTGAATCTTACATACCTGTCAACCCATACGGTTTACCCGTATTATTGTACAGGGAAAGTGAGTTTTCAGGTCCATATGGCGTACAGCCGTTTCAATACGGGCCATTTTTTTAGTTTTTGGTCTATTTGTTTGTGTTTCTCCCCTGTGATGGGACTTTGTAGGTACGGTGTGACCAATAAGGTCTCAATTGGTCTGTAATAAGGTAGGCACTGATAAGGGGTTGACAGGTATTATCTTATCAGCAGGTTTGGTTTAATTCAAGCAACCTCGAGATCGGTTTCGAAATCCTTATCAGTCAGAATTGCTTAAATCAACTCAGGTAAACTCTCCGGTCTTTATAGGCAAGGCCACTCTCTGCGAGATGTCGGTCCAAGTTTTACGCAAAACTACATACAGCAATACACAACACAAACAAATAATTATTGAGAAGTTGCTGTTCTGCCCTGTGCCATGATACTGCACATTGACTGTGGAAACAGCTGCACTTAATAAAATCATAACCTGCATTATGTGTGTATTTTTCAGGGAGGCAGGCTGACAGCAGAGCCAACGAAACGTAATTTGTTCAGTACTTGTTTACAACGAAGAGCAACAGGGCTAAGTATGTTTCATAGTTTAATACTTAACAGCCCTTTGGCGACCTGCTGATATGTAAAGAGCCTCCCCATGCTGTGCTGGTCACGGCCATTGCTCGACCATCCTTTACCACGCGAGCGAGTCCGGGTTGGGGAAAGGGGTGGCACAGGACCAGTTCAGATTCCAATCACCACTCGCATTAGCCATGCCTAGAAATACATTTCAGGTGGCAGGGTGCACAGAACAAATTGGTGTTACCCACTGCACCACCGCTCTTCCCCATGAAGCTAAGCATTGGTCGAAATCTCCCACCACATCAGCCATCCCCGGTCTTACGGTCAGCTGCGCAAACAAGATTGTTCCATCTCACAGGGAGGATAGGACAATGTCAAAATATCCGACGGGGTGGCGGTCAAGGTCACCGTGGGAATTGCTCGCGTGCCACAAGCCGGGCCAGGGTGCGCACTTACATTGGAGGACCTTTTCCTCGGCCACCTTGAGCAGCCCGTTGGAGGTTGGGCTCCACGAGGGCAGCCACCCCGACAGCCAGCCAGACCTGCGACCCACAGCAAAATATAAACAATGTTGCTTGCAACAAATGAACCACGACACTCTGCTGATCTCGTCAAGGAGCATAATCCATCACGTGTACTCCGGGCATCCTCACAGCAGGGGTTTTGGCTGGCCATCGAACAAAGATGGTCACTCCATCGCGCGCTTTCAGATGCGCTTTTGCTGCCGTTTGGAATGCTCTTCCTTCCGATATGAGGAAGCCGCTGGAGCTATGCACTTTTAAATCATCAAAAATGAAAACTAATTTCTTTAGAACTGCTTTTTGCATTTAGTTTGTTGTCCCCCCCCCCCCGATCCTCCGATGAGCATGGTTGGCTACGTGCGGTGCGAAAGACGTTCAACATACATACAAACTAGGCATGCTCGTTTGATTCAAAATTATTATATCATCTGGTGAGGCCCATTCAGCCAAGCAGCTGTTTTAAACAACAAAAATGACCCCCAAGACAGGCAGCAGTGGCGGCAGTTATACAGGGATACACAAATCTGCCGATTGACAAGAAATTGCATTGATGCGATGATTATGACTGGCTCTCTACATTCTTCGCATTACAATGATCAGCAGCAAATCCAGTTTTCCGTTCCAACCACGACGTAGACGGTTCCCTGTTCAAGTTGCATTTGCAATCACACCATCAACAAAGCGCAAGGACAGTCACTTCATCATTTGGGATTGTATTTGCCACAGCCAGTTTTTGCTCGTGGACAATGACACGTGGCATTGTCAAGAGTTACGTCAGCATCAAATGCCACCGTATTGATTGAAGACCCATTTTGTTTAGAAGAGAATGGAGTGTATACGAAAAATGTTGTATAACAAACAAGTCTTTAGGCAGTGATTAAACATGTCGTTTCATTTTTTAAATTATTAGATTCAATAAAATAATTTCGGTATACTTTTACACGTAGATCAACAACGCCCATCGCATAAATATTCACGCATGAACAACCTCATCCCTTGGGTCCGGGTAAAGGGCCATCCCAGCTAGTAAAAAAAAATAGTGACATTTACGTGCAAAAAAAAGTGTCAATGTCTGAAACTTAACATATTATAGTTTTTTATTTAACAGCCAGTCTTATTGGCGTATGTGTTGAGTTTATATATACACACAACATGCAGCCTTCCTACTACGAAACCTTATGCAGTGGCAAGCCAACTTTCTATGTACATTGGAAGACAAGCGAACCAAGTCCAGTGAACAAAAGTAAAAAAAACTACTGCCGACTCCCGCTGGCAAGTGACTCAGCACATTTTGCTTATGGGTAAGGTGAACACAAGTTGTCCTATGAGCTGATGCAACCATACACCACGGCAAGGAGACACGCGAGTGATGTCACGGGGTCATTTAACGTCCACTCCCGAGTCAAGACGGTGCTCTCTTTGTACGGTTATTAAAAAGCCACGGTAATAACGAGGGTGGCCTGCTAGACTCGAACCCGCGAACCACTGCCACAAGCGGCAAACGCAGCGCTACCCCCCCCCCCCCCGCTCGGTTGGGTCGCCGCGTCAGCCGCCCCGTCACCCGCGCCCCCCCTATGGCATTGGAGATAACCTCTTCACGTCAGTGCCCATCACTTTGGGTGTCGTACATTCCGGAACGAGCATGTTTATTATCCCGGCGCGTTCAAAACGTTCCTCAACATTCTGTTATGCAATCAGAGGCTCAAGTGAATACGCAGAAAAGTGTTCCAACGCTGCCGTCCCCCTTAACTTGAAAAAACCGAGCCGCCCGAAGCGCAGCAGGAATCCGTTTGATTACGTAAATCCAGCGGCACTGGCGACACTGACCGGCCTTGTTGACCACTGTGGTGCAAAGCGTACAACTTGTGACAGGACTTGGGGGGCGTGCAGGGGCAATGTTATCGCGTTACTCGACCATGCTGCCCGCCCCCGACTGACGACTGCCATTCGTCACTCGGTTTAATAAAACCAACATTGCAGGCAGCAATGCAAATGCATACCACAAACAAGCGACTTTCTAAACAACTTCTTTGTAAAGGACTTCTTCAAGTAAAGCCAACAAGGCTGCACTCATTGCACACACAAAGCGCTCGCCACAAATGAACCACAACACCGCCACGCGGTCTCGTCAAGGAACGTAAACCATCTCCACCCCAATTTCGGTGATCCTCGCAGCAGCAGCAGTAGCGCCTTTTGGCTAATCAATGAACACAGACTGTCACCAAATCACGTGCTTTCAGATGCGCATCTGCGGCCGTCTGGATCGCTCTTAATTTCGATGTTAGAAAATCACTGGGAGCCATTCACTTTTAAATCGAGATTGAAAACGAATTTCTTCAGAACTGCGTTTTGTATTTAGTTTGTCCTTCCCCCGCACCTCCACAACACGGTTGGCGACGATTGTGCAAAAGAAGCACAACACACATATAACATGTTTGACCACACCATGTACACACCTATGTCAATCCACAGCTGGATGAGTGCCTCCCCGTGTGGTGTGGGTTACGGAGGGGGGTGTTATTTGACCATACTTGACCATGCCGGTCAGGTGAAAGGTCTAAAATGCTCGTCGTTAGTTTTAATACTCTCGGTAGCGAGCAACTCCCAACAGTTTGAAAGTCTGCAACGCAAAATTGAGATTTCCCAGCATGGAAAAAGCAACAACATTAAACAATAACTCAGCGACGCTTAATCACACATTGATTTCAAGACGCTGGTTAAAAATCTTAGAAAGTGTAGGAAACACAGCATTTGGCAGACGCAACACCAATGACTCGATTAATCCGATAAGCAACCCTGCTGGAACGTCACACGCAGGAGCAGGCACCTCTCACTTCTCTGCCACTGATAGAGGCTAAAGTTTATTGCGGCAAAGTTGTACAACTGTGGAACGCGTGGCAAGTCTCCAAGCGAGAGCAGCGCATGACGCTGCTTCTGTTCGTCATCCGCAGTGTTGCCTTACTGCCCATAAAAAAGTATATTCATTTGTTTATTACAGCCAATTGCTCAAAAGTCACATGAGCAATTGGGTGGTAATCATCTTACTTGGCTCCCCCAAAGCTGGAGGTGGAAACTACATGTTCCCATGATAAAGGTCAGCATCTGTAGGATGACCACTGTTGACTCACCGCGAAGTTACGCTAATTTTCATCAGGCGGCAGAAAGACAACGAGCTGAAATGACCCCTCGGCCGAAATCTTGAATTTGCGAGCAAAGTGCTTGATCCACCGCGCCAGCGGGACGTACTCACGAAAACACGACTGAAATGCCAGGCGTGAACACAGAGCCAAGCCGGGGCGATACGAAGCAACGCGGATGGAAGTTGAACTTCACGAGCGCGTTATCTGTGCTTGGGAAATAAAGCGTTATCAAACCCGGCACCGCACTCGCCTGACCATGGCATCATCGACTATGACCGACCTCGCAGTTATCTGCGGACCACCGTGTGGGTGGAGTTTCTCCTCCACGTGAGAGTCACTCCACCGGACACGTTCCAAATGAAAGGTGCGGGCAGAGAGACTCGGCGCCGTGACGTCGCCGGCCAAGCTACCACTCACATTCGAACCTATTAACATCGTACACCGTGGCAATGATCGCCACGCAGCTTGAAACACTGTGGTTACAACCGTATTTTTATTTTATTTTACCTGGTAAGGCCCCACTGAGCTGCTATGTAGCTCTTATTAGAAGCGACCTGGCTATCACAAATGTGGCTTATCGCGTGGAACTTTATAGCAGCCAAATTCTCTTCACCGTGTGACGTTGATTCTAAATCTGGAGGGGAAAATCGGAGGACTCTGAGAAAAATATATGCAACCACGGGGAGAACATACCTCGTCAGGGTCGGGATCGAACCCATGACCGCCTGCATACTAGGCAAGGGAGATAACATATTGCCACTGCAGCGCCGAATGGTGATCGTGATAAAATTTTCCTGGAAAAACCTGAAAACAAGTCAGTGTCCCCCTTGTTACTTTAGGTGCTGGTCAGTGCTAAACTCCATCATTGGTTCTCATGTTACTTTTTTAGCATCATCAATAAGTCAAATAAAATCCAATAACAAGGAAGTCCAGCCTCGTGTGTTTGTGAAACTATGTTTCAATGAACCACAGCCAGTGCCTTGAGGAGCCTTGCTGCCAGTCCTTGATTGGGGCTTACGGGGAACGCGTCGTGTGCTGTTTGAATGTTTGTGCATGTGCGATCGTTGCGAAGATTCAACTGGATTCAATTATTGACTCCATTACTTTTGGAAGAGATGATTCATTAATAACCAGAGTTCCAACCCAGTTTTGTTTGTCCGACATACATTGGTCATACCCGTCTCTACCAATAGAGCAACGGTCTGACTTTCTTCCATCGTGTTCACTTCGCCTGCGCACATCTCCTATTGGACCATTCACTGCCTAATCCTTGTTTCTCGTGGAATATGCCTGTTTTTCAATGGTTTTACTTAACTTGATTCCTGTGTCGTGGTCAAATCTTGTACTAAAAATTTCGTCTACTTCCTGTAGTCCAATCAATTCCACATTGTGCACACATACTCAGATCCGGCGAGCATGCATGTCTGTATTAAAATCTGCATCAATTAATCAATTAATTCGCTACTTTAAAGCAATTTACATTTTGCATGGACGCCTTATTATTTATATATATGTGTAGGTAAAAAACGCCACGGTCCCGAAACTCTCGAATCGCCTCGCCCAAAAAGCAGGCGCCACGTGTCTCAGGCACGCCTGCTCCGTGTGAACTTATTAGGAGCAGCCTCACTCCACACAAACAAAAGTTGTACATTGAAGATTAATTTATAAAGTTATCAATTAATTCAAGTAAGCGTTGATGTGGGAGCAGGCACCACATCATTGACGTACTTCTCGACCGTGAGTTAAGCGAAGTTGTCAATAAAACGGTTGTTTTTTTAAAAAAATTAAGGAGTTTTTCTTTAAATATGCCTGTTTATTTTGTTCATATTACATTGTTGTGCATTACGTACGTCCGACATTGCCCATTTCTCTGAGAGTATCACTTTCATGTTGTTGTTTTGCTCTGTGATGATTTGCCACAACTAGTTGGGCAACTGCCTAAACGGGATTTTCCATGCCCCTACGGCCAATTTCGTCGGGATGCATCAAACCAGCTGGGCAACGTAGTCGCTCAGCGGTAGAGAAAGCAACACGAAATCGAAAAGGTCGCGAGAGTTCAAATCCTGGTTGGGGGTTGAATTAGCCCGTCATCCCTCCGGGGTCACCATGGGTGCTACGGTGATTAGCCACTTCGTTGAGCTATCATTTGTGGGTATATCGCTTCTGGAAAAAAAGTTAAATAGCTCAGTGGGCCTTACCTGGTAAAATAAAAAAGATTAGTTTTAGTCAATAAAATAAATAGCACTTTGTGAAGTCACAACTGTGGTTGTCCCGTTAAGAAACTTTTCCACGGCATAAGGATTTCCACCACGGGCTCAGGACTGTAAACAGGAGATGAGCACTACCCTCAATGCTCATTACAGCAGCCAAATCATTGTGAAATATTTCAACCCTGCAAGAATGATTCTATACGCTTGAACCTGAACTGATTACTATAATAGCATGTTACAGTAGTAGCATCAACAGAAGCCAGTCTCATGAGTTAGCACGGTTGGCTACATACGGTTCAAAAGAAGAACAACATACAGTACATGAGTAATGTATTGATGGCAATTCCCCCCAAACTAATTCATTAAAGACAATCAGATCTGACCTATAAGTCAACACATAGAAGACACAAGCACGTTATGTTTGTTGACCTGAAGTTAAGAACAATGCACTTTTAGTTTGCCATTCGTCCAGTTAAAACAGTCACAACAAACATGAATAACGTTAAAGTGAAAAATGTAATCAATTGTCACTTGAAATTGGAATACTCTGGCTTCTTGAAGTTTAAACACTCATTGGAATGTAACAAGCCAAAGCACACAGTTCCATACACATGTAGCTCAACTAACACCACCCCCTCCCCAAAAACCACAATCGGCGACGCTTAGGCCAATGACCTTCCCCCAAAGCACATCCTGTACACACACACACACATTGAGGTTTGTGTGTGTGTTCATTGTGCTTTCCACACCAATGCCAGCCCAGCAACATCACCAGATGTGTGGGTTTATGATCTCGTCACAGCCCTGTAAAATCGATAGCTCCCAATGGTTGTACGGTACTGTGCAACCGAGCAGCAACCACCAAACACGCACTGAGAAAACGAACATCATTATACACCAGGGGTGGGGAACGTCCGGCCCGCAGGCCGTATGAGGCCCCCGAAATCATTTGGTGTGGCCCTGCCAAGGCAACCGCAGGCGGGACTCGAAATTCAATAAATCTAGGAGCAAACCTGGAAAAGCAGTTGCGAGTAGCAACATCATCAATACCAGCTAACATCACACGCCTCGCCAAAGAGAAGCAGTTCCAGCCATCACATTAGGGGTGAGTTAATTAAATGTTTGACCAAATATAAGTCTAATTTCTAAGTTGATAATTTTGTATGGCCCGCGAATGATGTTATAAATATCCAAATGACCATTTGCAGAAAAAAGGTTCCCCAGCCCTGTTATACACGGTGGGTTTATTGGTTGGGTGGGCGGTGTCAGTGTATTAGCTTGTTATAGGCCAATCGTCTAACACAGTGGGGTCGGACAACCTGTGGATCGGGAGCCGCCTATGAGGCTCTTTCAAGGACTTGCTTCGTGACGTAATATTCACACGCATCGCAGCTCGTGAAATATCGAGGGGGGGGGGGGGGGGGGGGTTTGAACCGAATTGGTGAAAATGTTTTTCCTCTTCTTGTTATTTTGTTTGCCGACCCCAGGTCTAGCAGATAAAAGAGAAAATTCACCAAAATTTTTGACTGTTTGTCTTGTCCGAAGATGACCGCAAGAGCCTAATGCATTAAAAGGTTTAAGTGCGTTCGATCACATCGGAAACAGGGCAGAGTTCACGAACTTTACGGTCGTGAGTCAATGAGGGGAAAATCGGCATTGCCATGGTGGGTTCCAGTCTCCGCCACAAGACAAACACTTTTTGAGCAGCGCAGCGGTGGCGAGGTGTTAACTCCTTCGCCTGGTATACAGGTGGTCGTGGGTTAGATTCCGACCCTGACGACGGCTGCTGCTGCTGTATATTTGGAGTTAGCGGTGTCCATCCCACCCCGCCCTGGTCGCGTGGATTTTTTTTATTCGGATCGTCCGGTTTCCCCTCCACATTTAGAATCAACATCACTCGTTTCGAGTATTTAGTGCTATAGATTTCCACATTATAAGCCACTTCGTTGAACTATCATTTGTGGCAGCCAAGTCGTTTGCCTTGCACGCTAAAGTAAAAAGTTCCCATACAAGTGGTCTCAACCACAGAGCTGATGTAACAACACTGCAATCCGCTCGTTCATTAAAAAAAAACTCTTTCAAAAGTAAAACGAATCTCATGAATGCGTGGTCGAGACAGCGAATTTGCATAATAGCAGCCGCACGCTTACCGTAATTATAATCTAATAAAGCGTTTACAACACAATCGCCGCATCCAAAACACAACCAGAGGCGCGACCAGTCGAACCCCCCACCCACTGCCGCCCTGTGCCTCACAGCAACAAGACACCCGGTTCGATCCCTGTGCGAGGAGGCATCTCCCGCATTCGTTCCATCGACTGCCGTGCCGGGATATCGAACCACACAAAGATCCCCCGTATAGCCCGCACAGACTGCTGGGCCAAGTGCTGTGAGCGAACACCTCTGAAGGCCGCCACGGGACACGAGGGGGTGGGGGTTGGCCAGCAACCACGCCCGTGCGCCTTTGTCTCCCCCCAGTGGCGATGTTTACACACCACCGCACCAGGTACTCATTTGAGGCTGAGTCGACCTAGGTGTGGGACGGGGCGCGGGGTTTGTAGCGCAGCGCGCTAACTGCTACATTACCGGGATGTCGGCATCACACACGACATACACACAAAGACAAAGATCCCCCGTATAGCCTTAACAGACTGTAGGGGCAAGTGCTGTTAGCGATCACCTATGAAGACCATCTCTGGGAGTGGGTGGCCAACACCACGCCCGGCCGCCTTTGTCTCCCCAGTGGCGATGTTTACTCATTTGAGGCGGAGTCGACACATACACAACACATTCAGATACGACATATACACACACACACATACAGACACATACAGACACGACACACACATACAGACACATACAGACACGACACACACATACAGACACGACACACACATAGACACACGACACATACACACACATAGACACATACAGACACGACACACACATACACATACAGACACGACACACACATACACATACAGACACGACACACACATACACACACGACACATACACCCACGACACAAACACACACGACACATACACAACACATACATACACGACAGATACATATATATACACAACACAACACATACAAACACACACGCACAGCACACGGCACCTGTGGGATTGCAATCCCAGTGTACTATTCACCATCACAAAGGTCCCCCCCGTGTGAGGCTTTAACAGACTGCTGGGGGCCAAGTGCTCTTAGCGAGTAACGCGCCTGTTAAGCAGTCCCGGCAGGGGCAGACGCACGAGGAGGTGAATGAGCCGCACCACTCCCGGCCGCCTTTGTCTCTCTCCCCCCCCCCCCCCAATGTTGCTACCAAATGTACAAAGCACCGCACCCGGTAACGCGCCGCGCTTCATCTGAGCCCAAGTCGATCTAGGAGAGGCCCAGGACCGGTTCCAGATTCGCCGCCGCCGCCGCCGCCACGCATCACACCGCCGTGTTGTGCAACAGGCATCGGCCCGCCATCAACAGCACCCACAGCGACCCCCTCTGCGTTAAACAACGCACACGACACAACTTTATACCAACAACACCACCACCACTACCCCCAAGAAAACCGCACAAAGAAAACAGAAACTTCAAACCGCGGACGATAACACACGGGCGCCCATGGGTTTAAGGAAAGGAGCCGGCGTTGAGGTGAATTTAAAAGACGCGACGAGCCCTTGAAGCGACAAAGTTAAAAGATTTAAACATTCACGCGCAAACCCCTCACCGCGCCTCCACCACCTCCTCCTCCTCGGCCATCGCTGTGGGAAATCTGCGCCGTGACATCACGACACCGATATCGCCTAGCGCGGTGACGTCATTACGCCAACTTACGCAAGCGCGGTGACGTCATTACGCCAACTTACGCAGGCGCGGTGGCGTCATTACGCCAACTTACGCAGACGCGATGACGTCATTACGCCGATATATCCAGGCGCGGTGACGCCATTACGCCGATATATCCAAACGCGGTGACGTCACTACGCCGATATATCCAAGCGCGGTGACGTCACTACGCCGATATCTCCATGCGTGAGTGACGTCTGCGCGTCGCAGTTTCAAAAGCCGGGGAAGGTGACGTCACCACGTCGCGGATGGTGGGTGACGCAACAAGTGACTTTACCGAAAGAACCAAGAAGATGAATCCCTGCAGTCACGAAAGCTTTAAATCGAAATTTAAGTGAAAACAAACTTCATCATTAGACCTCCTTTGCCAGTACCGAAATAATAATAATAGGGTTTCCCCCTTTGTTCTGGCAACAAAACTGCTGTACGCCTTTTGGCGTCATCTGGTCTAGCACCAATCGAGACGAGGCTAAAAATAAAGCTGTCTCTGGTGTGGACCAATCAGTTTCAAGGACAATGCATATATTATCAGAGTATGTTTGTTGTTTGCATTTTGACTGCAAGTATTGTGGTTAATGCAGACATGAGTCCTTGTAAAAGGTTTCAGTTTTGTTGCCAGAAAAAAGGGGGAAACCGCTATTAGTAAAACAAACTTGATTTGGAGCTTTCGGTAAAGTCACGTAGAAAGAACAGTAAATTAAATACTAGCATACGACGTTTCGATTGCAACACACGCAATCATCATCAGGTACAAATGAAAGAGTAAACTTAGAAATATAATGCAATACAACCCAACCCAGAGAGTCGGCTAACATAACAGTCAACACCCTACCTGGTTGATTACGTTCTTCCAAAGATTGCTAAATTTGAGAGAGAGACAAAACACAGACACGGAAACACACAGACAGACACATAAGCAGAGAGATATAACACAGAGACACAGAGAGAGACACACACATAGGCACACAGAGAAGCAACGCCTTGAGAGCTTGGTTAGGTGTTCATGGTCGGAGATACATTGAACTCTATGGTGTAGCGTTTTGATAGAGCTCACCATAAAGCTCAATGTATCTCCGACCATGAACACCTGACCAGTGAACTCCAACACGTACACTACACAATCCACAAAGCTATCACCCCAACCGTGAGGACGGAGCCATCTGAGGATCAAATCAAAACCATTACCCTGCCATACATAGCAGGGGTCACCAAAAAGGCTTCCAAAATCATGAACAAACACAAGATCCAAGTCAGATTTAACACAGTGCATAAAATTTGAGATCTGATCCCATCTGTGAAGGACAAGATCCCTGACATGCAATACCCTGGCGTCTACAAACTAAGCTGTGTATGCGGCAGCAGTTACATTGGGGAAACTAAGCGACATGTCTCTGACCGTGTTCATGATCATAAGACAGATCTGAAACACGGTAGGACCAATACTTCTGTCGTGGCTGATCATTGTTTTAATGCAGCTGGCTCACACGAAATATATTTCTCTAAGACGATGGTACTTTGCAAGCCTACTGGCTATCAACAAATATTCGTTCATGAAGCCATCCATATATACAGACACAGAGACAATTTCAACCGAGAATGGTTATAGACTCAGCATCATTGGAAAGATGTCATCAACCACTTTGGGTCATCCCTTGACTTGTGTTTTCTTGTCAATCAACCTCCACCGTCAGCAGTGTCAATGCAGCCCTATGCTGCATTGACATTGCTGCTGCTTTGGTATTGCTGCTGCATTGGCATTGCTGCTGCATTGACATTGCTGCTGCACTGACATTGCTGCTGCTTTGGTATTGCTGCTGCATTGGCATTGCTGCTGCATTGGCATTGTTGCTGCATTGGCATTGCTGCTGCTTTGGCATTGCTGCTACATTGGCATTGCTGCTACATTGGCATTGCTGCTACATTGGCATTGATGCTACATTGGCATTGCTGCTACATTGGCATTGCCGCTGCTTTGGCATTGTTGCTGCATTGGCATTGCTGCTGCATTGGCATTGCTGCTACATTGGCATTGTTGCTACATTGGCATTGCTGCTGCATTGGCATTGCTGCTGCATTGGCATTGCTGCTACATTGGCATTGTTGCTGCATTGGCATTGTTGCTGCATTGGCATTGCTGCTGCATTGGCATTGCTGCTACATTGGCATTGCTGCTGCATTGGCATTGCTGCTGCATTGGCATTGTTGCTGCATTGGCATTGCTGCTGCATTGACATTGCTGCTGCATTGACATTGCTGCTGCATTGGTATTGCTGCTGCATTGGCATTGCTGCTGCATTGACATTGCTGCTGCATTGACATTGCTGCTGCATTGGCATTGTTGTTGCATTGGCATTGCTGCTGCATTGGCATTGTTGCTACATTGGTATTGCTGCTGCATTGGCATTGCTGCTGCATTGACATTGCTGCTGCATTGACATTGCTGCTGCATTGGTATTGCTGCTGCATTGGCATTGTTGCTGCATTGGCATTGCTGCTGCATTGGCATTGTTGCTGCATTGGCATTGCTGCTGCATTGACATTGCTGCTGCATTGACATTGCTGCTGCATTGGTATTGCTGCTGCATTGGCATTGCTGCTGCTTTGGCATTGCTGCTACATTGGCATTGCTGCTACATTGGCATTGCTGCTACATTGGCATTGATGCTACATTGGCATTGCTGCTACATTGGCATTGCTGCTGCTTTGGCATTGTTGCTGCATTGGCATTGCTGCTGCATTGGCATTGCTGCTGCATTGGCATTGCTGCTACATTGGCATTGTTGCTGCATTGGCATTGTTGCTGCATTGGCATTGCTGCTGCATTGGCATTGCTGCTACATTGGCATTGCTGCTGCATTGGCATTGCTGCTGCATTGGCATTGTTGCTGCATTGGCATTGCTGCTGCATTGACATTGCTGCTGCATTGACATTGCTGCTGCATTGGTATTGCTGCTGCATTGGCATTGCTGCTGCATTGACATTGCTGCTGCATTGACATTGCTGCTGCATTGGCATTGTTGTTGCATTGGCATTGCTGCTGCATTGGCATTGTTGCTACATTGGTATTGCTGCTGCATTGGCATTGCTGCTGCATTGACATTGCTGCTGCATTGACATTGCTGCTGCATTGGTATTGCTGCTGCATTGGCATTGTTGCTGCATTGGCATTGCTGCTGCATTGGCATTGCTGCTGCATTGACATTGCTGCTGCATTGACATTGCTGCTGCATTGGCATTGTTGCTGCATTGGCATTGCTGCTGCATTGACATTGCTGCTGCATTGGTATTGCTGCTGCATTGGCATTGCTGCTGCATTGACATTGCTGCTGCATTGACATTGCTGCTGCATTGGCATTGCTGCTGCATTGACATTGCTGCTGCATTGACATTGCTGCTGCATTGGTATTGCTGCTGCATTGGCATTGCTGCTGCATTGACATTGCTGCTGCATTGGCATTGCCGCTGCTTTGGCATTGTTGCTGCATTGGCATTGCTGCTACATTGGCATTGCTGCTGCATTGGCATTGCTGCTACATTGGCATTGCTGCTGCATTGGCATTGCTGCTGCATTGGCATTGCTGCTGCATTGGCATTGTTGCTGCATTGGCATTGCTGCTGCTTTGGCATTGCTGCTGCATTGGCATTGCTGCTGCATTGGCATTGCTGCTGCTTTGGCATTGCCGCTGCATTGGCATTGCTGCTGCATTGGCATTGCTGCTGCTTTGGCATTGCTGCTGCATTGGCATTGCTGCTGCTTTGGCATTGCTGCTACATTGGCATTGCTGCTACATTGGCATTGCTGCTACATTGGCATTGCTGCTGCATTGGCATTGCTGCTACATTGGCATTGCTGCTGCATTGGCATTGCTGCTGCTTTGGCATTGTTGCTGCTGCATTGGCATTGCTGCTACATTGGCATTGCTGCTGCATTGGCATTGCTGCTGCATTGGCATTGCTGCTGCATTGGCATTGCTGCTGCTTTGGCATTGCCGCTGCATTGGCATTGCTGCTGCATTGGCATTGCTGCTACATTGGCATTGTTGCTGCTTTGGCATTGCTGCTACATTGGCATTGCTGCTGCATTGGCATTGCTGCTGCATTGGCATTGTTGCTGCATTGGCATTGCTGCTGCATTGGCATTGCTGCTACATTGGCATTGCTGCTGCATTGGCATTGCTGCTGCATTGGCATTGTTGCTACATTGGCATTGCTGCTGCATTGGCATTGCCGCTGCATTGGCATTGCTGCTGCATTGGCATTGCTGCTACATTGGCATTGTTGCTGCTTTGGCATTGCTGCTACATTGGCATTGCCGCTGCATTGGCATTGTTGCTGCTGCATTGTTGCTGCATTGGCATTGCTGCTGCATTGGCATTGCTGCTACATTGGCATTGCTGCTGCATTGGCATTGCTGCTACATTGGCATTGTTGCTGCTTTGGCATTGCCGCTGCTTTGGCATTGCCGCTGCTTTGGCATTGCTGCTGCTTTGGCATTGCCGCTGCTTTGGCATTGCCGCTGCTTTGGCATTGCCGCTGCTTTGGCATTGCTGCTGCTTTGGCATTGCTGCTGCTTTGACATTGTTGCTGCATTGGCATTGCTGCTGCATTGACATTGTTGCTGCTTTGGCATTGTTGCTGCTTTGGCATTGCTGCTGCATTGACATTGTTGCTGCATTGGCATTGTTGCTGCATTGGCATTGTTGCTGCTTTGGCATTGCTGCTGCATTGACATTGCTGCTGCATTGGCATTGTTGCTGCATTGGCATTGTTGCTGCTTTGGCATTGCTGCTGCATTGACATTGTTGCTGCTTTGACATTGTTGCTGCATTGGCATTGTTGCTGCATTGGCATTGTTGCTGCTTTGACATTGTTGCTGCTTTGACATTGTTGCTGCTTTGGCATTGTTGCTGCTTTGGCATTGTTGCTGCATTGGCAT